TATATATATATATATATATATATATATATATATATATATATATATATATAACTCACTGTAAATAGAAAAAACATTAACAATTATTGAAATTAAATAATAAAATATTTACAAATAAATACAAATACAGAAGCCCTTATATGGACATATTTTGGGCATGTTTTATGCAAATTACTAGATGTGTATTTATGTATTAGTGAAAATTTTGGAGTGAGAACTTTTTCTGCACACATACATATGGAATTTGTTAGTGAATGAGGCCTACTGTTTATGTAGTGTCAACATTTTGCTATATACACTCTCATTGAAACGTTTGGGGTCAATACGATTTTCTTTCTTTTCTTTTTTTCTCTTTTTTTATTAATACTTTTAATGCAAGGATGTTTTAATGTTTTGCTGTATTTGTAATCAAATAAACGCAGCCATGGTAAACATGAGAGACGTTTTTCCAAAAACATTAAAAAATCTTACCGACCCCAAACTTTTGAACAGTAATATACCTAAAGCCACGCTCAAAATCAATTATTTTTGCTGTCGTGCAGGTCCAGGTCGATCACTCCCTCCAGAGTGTGGTGGATATCCTCTGGGAGCTTCTCAACAGCCGAATTCCTCCATGCTGTCCCATAGCGGCCCTTTACCCTCAAATCGAATGGGTCTTTCCTCCAGCTCAGTCTCCCAGATGGGCCCGTCGGTTGGAGGATACATGTGCAGCAAAGGTTCCAAACAACCCCTCTGCCACCCGTCGCAAGACTTTGGAATGGCGATGCAGCCTGGCCAGAGCATGATGGGAATGGGTGGCCCTCCACGTCAACCGCTACACCCGGCTCACGCTGTGACGCGACCAGGAATGCCATGTCCAAACCTACCAGGCGGTCCTGTGCCGACCCACCACCTGCGGCAGGTGCTGCACCAAGGTGGAGCTCTTCAGTCACATATGATGTTCCCATCTCAGCAGCAGCAGCCCACCTCACAGTCCCAGCTCTGGCAGCACCAACAAGGGGTGCAACCACATATGGACCCTGTGAACCACCAACATCCCTTCCCCACCGGAGGAGCCCTACCTGGATGCCGAGGTCCTCAGTTTCCACAGCGATCCGGCATGGCAGGTATGCCAGCCAACTTCCCTGGTTCCCTTCCTCCTGCAAATCAAGTAGCTCCTGGTTTGGTTAGCAGACAGGACCAGAAGATGCCCACCACCCAGCCACTATCCTCCATGTCCCAACAGAACTTCAGAATGCGAGGTCCTCTTTCCGCTCTAGCTGTTATGAAACCAGGAGGACCGTCCATGATGCACCCTGCCCATGGGATGGCGCCTCCTAGTTACCAGACTGCTTCCGCAGGGAAACACTGTTCACCGCAGTGCTACAACCCCGGAGATAAACTGCCTTCCTATGACTACACACCACAGCATCAGAGCAATGGGGCGATGGCAGCGAGGCTACAAGGACCTGGAGGGGGAGGTGGTCGCGGTGCGGAAGTGGACTTCATAGACACTCTGGTGGGCAACAACGAAGACTGGCTGAACAATCTCACCATGATTGATGAATACCTTGAGCAAAACTCATAGGGACTGATCAAGAGCGTCCTAGGTTTGAAAATCACTACACACAGTGCCAGAATGGGGCCGTGGGGTCATCGCTCTGTAAAGGCGCGTTCACACCAAGAGCGCTAACTATAACAAGAACTATATTAGTGTCCACACCAACGAACGATAATATTCTGTTCCTTATAAGCTTGCAGCTACATTGTCTGCTGTTGTAAGACCCTGACTTTTCTGAACTTTTCTGGAAAGTTCGCTTTGGCAAGCTGTTTCGAACTCCAAACAAACTTTGTTTTGGCCTAATTTTGTTCTAAATAACGAAGTATATTAGGTCCTTTAAAAATGTGAGCTCTTTAAACTTGTGTGGTATCTGATTGACTTAAAAAAAACTTTTTAGTTTATCATTATAGTTATCATCTTTGGTGTGAACGAACCTTAAAGTCTTAAAGCGTTTTTTTTCTCATGGCTAGCATTAGTGAGAATGTATCAGTGGAAATGAGGCACTGCTAAACCACCTGAAATGGCTTTGGCCGTCATTAAACTGGCTTATATTATAAGATGCCCTTTCCTTTTCTCTATGGTTGCTCTTCCAGTGCTCTCTGCGCTGTTTTAGGATAATATTGTAATTATTGTCAAATGTTTTATGGAGTGAAACACTGATTGATGAAAACATGGGCTTTGCTCAGCAGTGTAAAGAAAGTTCTCATTCAGTTAAAGGGGTAGTCCACCCAAAAAGGACAATTCTGTCATCGTTTACTTACCCCCATGTCGTTCTAAACCTGTATGACAGAAGACATTTTGAAGAACAATTTTTGTCTGTACAATGAGAGTTAATGGGGTTTAAAACAACACTGACTTTCATTCTATGCACAAAAACACTTTTTCTTACCTGCTTTACATGGAGTGAGTAGATGATGACAGAATTGTCATTTTTGGGTGAACTGTCCCGTTAATGCAATGTGGTAACAGTATTGTTGGCAGTACTCATGCCAGACCAGGCTCATATGTGCAGCTTTTCATTCTTACTATTTGAAAAGCGTATGAAATCATTTCTGTGATGAACTATTTGAGGGTATTTCAAAAGGGGCTTGTCCTGTACATAAAGGATTTTGTAAAATATGGTTTCTTAAACTGTAACATACAAAAGAGAAGTACACATATTTATGCTTCTTTTCTGCTGATGAATTCTTCAGAATTTATGTGTAAATAATTATTAAAAGAATAAATAAAACAAAAATGCAATGATGTAAAGAAATGAGTGTCACATTGAAATTGCAAATTAAATATTTTACACTAAGCAACTCTATTGTAATTTGTATTATGCAAGACAGTATGGTTAGTTTTGGAGTAATACTGTGTATTACAAAGGTGAAAAATGTGTTATGTTTTTGACATAACTGGACTTCTGGTACTCCAGTCTGGCTTAAGAAGTTTTTTTTTGTGTTTTTAAATTGTGAGTACAATGTTTCACGGCCTTGTCACAGCATTTCATTCTAACATTAATTGCACAGTCTAAAGGTTCTCTGACTTGTGTCATATTGCCATAGCATAATACATTTTACACTAGACACCAGTGTCTTTGTAATAATTTGTTCCATCTAAGGAAATGAGGATCTTAAGGATCTAGATGCTTTTTGGACCAAGGACACTTTTCAGCAATTCTAGGAATGTCTTTTGTAAGTGCACACCAGCTACACTGAAATGGCAGCCTCAATGTAGCAGAGGGACAAAATATATGATCACACCACCAATTATGTAATATAAGAGCAACACCTGTCACAGTAAGCGCATAAAACCCACAGTCCTTTGTGCCAGAGTCTTGGGTCTCCCAATAGTTCATGACCATGTAGTTGATGCCATGAACTTTAAGACATTCTGATTTGTGATTAATTGTGATTTATTATATTTTGTCTTCATATTTTTAGATTGGAAAATAAACTGTATAAAAACAAAAATGTCTCCTGTTCTTCTTTAATATATCTTACTTCCGTTTCCATTGGTGGTAAGAGTGAAATGTATAACTACACTCTTAAAAATAAAGGTGCTTCACGATGCCATAGAAGAACCTTTTTGTCTAAATGGTTCCATAAAGAGCCTTTAACATCTGAAGAACCTTTCTGTTTCACAAAAGGTTCTTTGTGGCGAAAGAAGGTTCTTCAGATTACAAAAAGGTAAGAAAGAGATGGTTCTTTAAAGAAAACAAAAATGGTTCTTCTATGGCATCGCTTGAAGAACCTTTTGAAGCACCTTTATTTTTAAGAGTGTACAGATAAATATTAGCACCATCCCTCATTTAGTGTTGAGATGCCTGATAACTACTGTGCTAAAATGATCTTTTAGATTCAGAAGAACACCAGGGTCAGTATATCTTTGTGACTGCTTATCAGGACGAGGCAGGGATAAAGTAAACATATTTGTGACATTGATTTAAGAGAGAAAATACCTTCTTTCACTACTGCTCACTTTAATTTTTTTTCTAGTCTGTTTTGAACAATTTTTTTTTTTACAAAATTGTCTTTATTGGGGCTTGGAAGTTATGAAATCAGTTTTATTGTTCTTGATTGACGTTTTTTCTTTTCTTTTTTTTTCTTTTATATTGATTATTACGATAAAGGGTTTAAATGACATATTTCGTTTAAACTTAAAGGAAAGATGAGCTGACACAGAAGTATTTCACTTTCCAATCATGATTTTATGATTCCTGCTCTGGCTGTGTTTTCCAAAACACAATTGAACATCTGTTGGATTCATTTCCTTCATAGTGTAGCTTTTTAGTGTGGTAAATGAAATCATTAATTTCTTATCTAGAGGTAATATGAGAATGGCCATACAGAAAATAAAAATAATGATCTAATAAAGGTGCTCCAAAATTTTGTGAGGCAATGTTTTCTTACAAATAGCCCTTTAGCCTTTGTCACACTTGTCTTAGGTGTCTGTAAGTCTTTAGCAATTGGAATAGGTTAATGTATTTTTTTAAGCGTTTTAAGCTCACATTTTTCAAGCTTTTTTTTCAATTATGCATACTAGATTTCTTTACCATGCAGTGGAAAGACAGTGGGGTCATATAGGACTATAACCACACCTTAATGTTGCCTATCTAAAATAATATTCATTTCTGGCACAAGTTAACGATTCTGCATGTGCTATACAGGCTCTGTTCTTTTGCACTAGGCTTCCTTAGATAGATCAATATAAATAGGCATTTTTGCATAGTTCCTCTTAATGCTGTTTTATGGTTTTGCCGGTTTCATTTTTAGATCAGCAGTTTTGCTTCCACAAAAAAAAGTGGCCTTTGTTTTTGCATCAGCAGTTGATGGTTTTAGAAACTCATATCTGTTACTGCAGGTTCATGTATCACACAGTTACGGATCAGAGCCACACAACAGAAGTCTGGGCAAATTAAAACTTGATAATCCAGACTTTGAAAGCCACAAGTAATTTAAAATAATACAAAAACCTTGTGTGTGTCTGTGTCTTCCTTCCCAGAGCCATAATTTGCACAAGATGCTGTGTTGCCAAGCTCTAATGAAGTACAGTTAACTGCCATCTGTAAGAAGTGAAGGGATGTGAGTGGCCAAGTATGGTGACCCATACTCAGAATTAGTGCTCTGCATTTACCCATCCAAAGTGCACACACACATGCACACACGCACACGCACACGCACACAGCAGTGGGCAGCCATTTATGCTGCGGCGCCTGGGGAGCTCGGTGCCTTGCTCAAGGGCACCTCAGTCGTGGTATTGAAGGTGGGAGAGAGCACTGTACATTCACTCCCCCCACCTACAATCCCTGCCGGTACAAGACTCAAACCCACAACCTTTGGGTTATGAGTCCGACTCTCTAACCATTAGGCCACGACTTCCCCTAAAGTCTGGAATGATTGGTATGACTATGACACTGCAGGGATCAGATTGCACAGCCATCAGCTGCTTCACTGTGCAAGACTCTTGAGTTTGCACTTTTATGAAAGATGCTACCAGTTTAGTGGCAATTTGTAAAAAACAAAAACAAAATACAGCTTATTATGCAAGAAAAGTAGTGCATTCATGATGTGTCAAATATTAACGACTGGTAAAAGTAAAAAAAAAAAAAAAAAAAAAAAGAGGGGGGAGAAAAAAGGGTTTTCTCTACTTTGAAATTTGGG